TCAGCACAGAGAAGGACCTGGGCCCAGGTGGATTTTGGACCCTGCAGGGAGGAGGCAGAGCAATGAGTGGTGTCCTGCAAGCTGGGCACTGTGGGAGAGCCACTCTGAACCCGCAGAGGTCACAGAGCCAGTGGGTACTGAGCAGGACAGGACTCCCTGCCTCTTAGCTGCTCTGAGATCCCAGGAACCCATTCCTCACCCCTGGAGTCACTAACTTACTGTCCTAGCAGCCACTGGCTCTTTTATTCTACTTTTTTTGCTGCTGTGACTAAAAGACCTGACAAGAAAATCATGGAAATGGAAAAGTTCATTTGGGGCTTATGTTTTCAGAGTTTTCAGTCCAAAGACAGCGGGTCCATTCCTTAGGTCTCGAGGAGAGGCTGATTATCATGGTGGAAGGGTGTAGTGGAGGAGAGCTGCTCAAGACATCATACCAGGAAGCAGAAAGAGAGTGAGCTCCACTCAACAAAGACAAAATACATACCCCAGGCCCGCCCCAGAGACCCACCTCCTCCAGCTCCACCCTCCAGGGCTACAGTTACCATCCAGTGAACCCTCATTGGGGGATTAATCAATGATTGGGTTAAGGCTCTCATAACCCAATCATGTCACCCCTAAACTTTCTGGTATTGTCTCACACATGAGCTTTGGGGGACACCTCCTCTCTAAACCATAACACTGGCCCATGAGGGTGTTGGATGGAGAGGAGGGAGCAGTGGGCTGTAATTGGAGGAGCCAGGAGGGCTTCTCTGAGGGGACACAAAATGAAGATCCCCACAGGTGAGAAATGATGACCTTGGGGGATGAAGGGGACTGCTTCAGCAAACTGGGCAGTGTGACTGTGCCCTTGGTCCTGGGAAGTCCTTCTTCCTCTCAGCCTTCATAGTTTCCTGAGTTCCCTCCAAGGTCCTTTTAGTCCTGGTCTGAGGATCTGTTTAAACCTGTCCCTATTCAGTCCTGGCTGCTCTGTTGAATTACACTGGTGACTGCAACTGTGACACTTATTAAGAACCCACCCCCCTCCACTGGCTCTCCCCCTACCCTGAGTCTTCCTCTGAGGACAGGTCCCTCTGAGGTTGAGTTTACTGTTATTTATGCACCTGATAAACATTCTGAGGACTAGCTGCACAAGACATCATACCAGGAAGCAGAGAGAGAGTGGACCTGTGGACCTGGAAGGGCTCTTTTGGGCATCTGGGCCGCTAGGGACACAGGCCCATAACCAGGAGTTGTCAAATCTTCTAGAATCCTGCAAGGACATAGGGAATACAGCAGGAGACAGGAGTGCCTGCTCTGCCTGACTTCCTGGAGGAAGGGGTGTGGGCTCCACCTCAGATGACCTTCAGTACCTTCTCCTAACAGGCCTTGGCTTCTTCATTCTAGCCTGGGTTCATTCCTGCACACCAGGATA